GCTTCACATAAAGATAAAAACATTGCAAAAAAATCATAAGCCTTAATCAATGTGTCCCAAGTATTAAAAGCCAGTTTTAAAAAAAATATATTTAATCTGGACTTAAAAAGGTGCAGAGCAGTGAGAACCCGCAGACTGAGGGCCAGGTTGTTAGGTGCATCCAGGACCCTGGACCTAGGGATGTCTAGGACCATTTGATCAGCAGACTGCAGTGCTCTGCTGGTGCAATGTACCGTCAACATCTCAGTTAAATATAGCGAGACCATGAAGGGCTTTAAAAACAAGTGTTAAAACTTTAAAATCAGTCCGAAAACAGACCGGGAGGACTCCCTCTCTAACCTCAAATGCTTCATCTACCACCTTTTTCATCGACCCCCCCCCCCCTCTATTTATGCATTTATTCTCAACCATAAGAGAAGATGGTGCTGTTCCCTCCCCCTTCCTCTCGTCTGATTCTAGTAGTCATGTGAAGAACCAACTGGAGAGACTGAGTCACAATAAGGAAACAGGTCTAGATGGTGTCTACCCCAAAGTCTTGAAGGCCTTTGTATAGTATTTCTATAGGATTCTACAGCACCTCTCTAACCTTAGGCTTACCCAGGAGACAGTTCAGTGGTGTGGAAAACCTCCTGCCCAGTTCTGGTACCAAAGAAAACTTCAACAGTCCTCAATAACTATAGACTTGTTGCCCTGACATCCCTCATCATAAAGGTCCTAAAGAGACTTCTGTTGGTTCACTTGAGCAAGCAAAGAAACAACTATCAGGACCCCCTGCAGTTCCCTTATGTCATTGAGTTGGAGTCTAATATACCATCATACACCTGCTCAAACAAACCCACTGTCATTTAGACAAGGCAAACAGTAAATGAGGATCATGTTCTCTGATTTTTGCAGTGCATTTAACACGATTAAGACTGCAATACTTTGTCAAAAGCTCCAGAAGACCCAGGTGGAGGCATCAGTAATAGCCTGGATTCAAGTCTACCAGACAAACAGACCCCAGTTTGTTAGACTAAAGGCCAATTTATACTTCTTTTGCATAACCTCTGCAGCCGTCAAGTCTGTTTCTGTGCGCGACCATGCACCCCACGCAGAGGCTCTGCAACCGTCATCGCGCAACAAAAAAAAATATCCTGACTACATATCGGACGGCCGCAAACCCGCCCACACCTCAAGCGGAAGTGCGGAGAAAGAAGCTGTGATTGGTCCTTGGTATGCCTTTCCGGCTGTCTGTGTGATCTTCATTCTCGATTCAGTGTATTTAAAAACCGAGGAGTAATAACAACAATGGAAAACCACGACGAAAGGTTGATCGAGGAGGTTCGGAAGTACAACCACTTGTAAGATGCCTCAGAATAGTTTTGGAAAGAAAAAACACTCCTGCCGGTGCCGCCTAAAAAGTCCTTGTGACTTCTCAAATAGGCTCCCCCTAGCGCTTTGTTGGGAAACTGCTCTGCGTTCCTAGAAATTCCAGACTGACATTGCTGAAGCATACCAGCAAAACTGGTTCGCAACCAGACACAAGCGACATTTGATGTGTGCGGTAGCAGAAGTATAATCCGCCCTTAAAAGAATCAATCAGGTAGTGAGCAGCACAGGAGCACCACAGGGGGCAGCACTCTCACCATTCCTTTTTACTCTGTGCTCCAATGTCTTCCAGTAAAAGACAGAGTCCTGCTAATTTCCCAGAAATAGAAATACACTTACCACTTATCTTTTGGCAATGCTGCTATGGTTTCTTAATTGATATGTGGTTAAAAGGAGGATGTCCCAAGATCTCACAAGCCTTTAAAAGGCCATCCAACCATAAATGACAGGGCATTCTCATCTAAAAATTGAAATCAGTAGGTGGAAGCAATGTAAGATCATATTAACATTTGAATATTGATCTCAGTACCATCACAAGTCACACAAAAAAACATGACTTTAATGTTTTTGGGACTTTAATTGCAATGAGCGGATACGCTCGGATGCCTTATTTTGCAGCTTTCAAAGCAGATGCAAATAGAGGTACCATAGTGTTCCATCAGGACATATTATCAAAATTAATTTGCGCCCATATGAAAGTTGCCACAGCACAAAAGCTAAAATTCTTCCAAAAACTGGTTGCTACATCAGTTGTTTGAGTAAAGAAGATTACCCAACAAGAAATGTCTGTATGAGTCCAAACATAGCGATTAAAGCATTTGAACGCATCAGACTGAGGATGATTTGCTTGGATAACAATGTAGATGAGGCTTATCTTCACTTGAAAAAGAAAAAACCCAGAGAGAAAGAAGAGGAATGCCAAAGTAGGTCTGGCCATGAAAAGCAAAGACTCAGCATTCCAGGGGAGGAGTTAATCACTGGTTTCTCCCATGAGATTTTTATGCTTTTATATAAAGACATTTTTTTTTAATCCTCTTTGTGTTTGCTTCTCACATTTCTCAGTATTACCCCAAAAAAAAGAAGGGAAAAAAAAAAAAAAAGCCAAATAAAAGATCCTTGGTGATTTCCCAGGATTGCAATTATGATTCAGATCTTTGAGTTTATTCATTGTGGAAAGCTTAAGAATTAAGCTGTTTGTGTGTAGAAACCATGAGCAATAAAATAGGTCCTGAATCCTGAGTAAATATGCAGCAGCAAATTCAGTTTTTTTAATCAAATGATTTCTAAGTGTAATAGAAGTTTTCCCACCTTTGAAAACTGGAAGAGTAAAAGCTCTACAATTCACACTACAGTGCTCAGTCATGCGGAATAAAGCTTCAAAGTGGCTTTAATTATATTTCTTAGACATATTTTGGGTAAAAACATAGTGTTTTTGTCTGGAACAGACCATGATCTGAATATTTTTTTTAAAGCCAGTGGAAATATCTCTTTGATAAAAGCCTAAAACTACCTCAGATCACATATTGTTTAACTTAAGCTGTTGCTTCAATGTACTGTAAATCCATGTGAAGACTTTATGCTGAGGATTTGCTATATTCACTGAGCCAATCCTATTTCCCTGGCTGGTAATGTTGGTTAAACTCAGGGTTGCTACATCAAAATCAACCTAAGTGTGATTTAGCTCCTGCTGCTGGGAGCCATTTTTCATGTGCAGCTGTTGCCATTAGCAGAGCCTAACGGCAGCCCAGTCTACTGGTGAGTGAGGTCATCAATAACTTAACAGCAAACATACAAAAGCATCAGTTTCGAAAAGCCAAGATTCAAACCAATTTTTAGTTTTTTATTTTAATTTTTTTTTATTAACAACTTTAAACTCATTTGAGCAATTTTTTGGCATGTACAAAACATTTTTATTGTACCGGTAGGTGTTTTTAGTATTATTTTTCCATTGATTCTGCTGAAGATGCACCTGTCTAGAATTCTTGTATTTTACTCTTGCAACTTTATTTACACAGAATTAGCCCAATTGCTGCTCCCTTTCTCTCATATAATGTTAATTCTGTTTATTTATGTAGCATCACATCACAACTGGTCATCTTAAGACAATTTCCAGAGACAATTCAATAGAGTCCTACAATCAGTTTGATTGAAAAAAAAAAAAAAAAAACATATTAAAGACATGGCTCTGAACATTTTTGAAGAGAACATTACTGAAGAAATATAGTTTCATTAGAATCAGATGTTTTTTTAGACATTGCAATTTCAACACAGAATTTGTATCCTGTGTTATTATCTATTGGATTTTTGTTTTTAATTCTAAAATCACTTTTAAAAATTTACAGTAGCTGGTAAAAATCTAACTCCAAAGATATGCATGTTAAGAAGATTTCAGCTGCAGAGAATTAATTTTCATGACTTTCCCTGCAAAGTGACAGTGGTCGTTACACAACCCTCTGTTTTGTATAACACCCGCTAATGAAGACCATTGCTGGGGTCCCAAAACTTGTGTTAATGGGCTTCTGCGTGTGATAAAAAACTACATTTCAATGACAGCAGAACAATCTCCATTAAAAAAAAAAGTTCTTTGGTAAAAGCATGATGGATAAAAGGTTTGTGTCTGGTTGGGTGGAGGCTTTGAGGACCCAAACGCAGAGATGAGTTTTGATGATTTAATGAAGGACTCAAAAGGCAACTGAGGCAAAAATCCAGGAAAAAACAAAAAATTCAAAGAACATCAGGGGAAAAACATGTGGGGAGCAAGAGACAAGAAAGCAACAGAACAACAACAAGAAACCAGCATTGAGCGAAGGCTCTGCTGCTCTTTAAAGCCCAGCACTTTAATGAGACTGATGAGCTTCACCTGTGAAGACTACCCAGGTCCTCTACAAAGATCCTCTCTGGAAGAGAGGCATAACACACACACACACACACATGGGAACCCTGACAGTTTGGCTCATCTGATGAGATCTGGTGCACTACACACTAACTGCTTACAGACCAATCTCTGCCCAATGTACTGGTGTTTTATGAGATCAGTTGATTGTATTTGATAAAAGCCAATCATATCAAATTATTTCCTTGATAGAAAAAGATAAACATTATAAATAGAGGATTGTAAAACTAAAACCCGAGGTTTCAACAACTTTGAAACTTGTTTTTTTTTTAATCATTTCACAGCAAAGGAAACAGAGGCACTAATAATGTCCAACTCAGTTATTCTCCTGCTGAAACTGCTCCAGGTGCATGCAGAATTCTGGGGCACTGACCCTATAATAACGGTTGGCTTAAGTATAAACTAAGGAATTTTTGGCTCAATGGTACAGAACAGTAAGAAATAAATCTCTCAATGCTCCAAATAACCCCAGTTGCCATCCACAGCATTCCAGTCTGCACAAAGAACTTTGTGACCTAAGCCCAAAAGCACACATTTAAAAAAAAAAATACACTAATGCTTTTCAAAGTAGCCATAAGCAGACATTTTTCCAACTTTTTCCTGATAACAAATGAGAAGTTTACAAAAAGTCACACTCATACTGATGGTTACTGAATGATGTAACATTCAAACACACAATTGACATTACATGCAAAAATATCAATTAGAGTCTTGTTCAAGTGAGGGAAACCTCTCTTACCTCAAACTCTTCATATGCATAGTTATATTGATCAAAATTGTCTTCTCCCTCATTTAAATCGTTTGAGTCATTGTCCACTTGTCGGGAAAATCTGGGACTTGCCACCACCGCTTTGAGGACGAAGAGTCCGAACACGAGTTTCAAAAAGATCCTCATAGTCAACCTTAAAAAGGACAGAGTAGAAGAATTAAAGAGGGTTTTCTTGGACTTTATGGTTATAGAATATGATTAGAATATAAAATCAATGAAACAATAATTGGAACCTTATTAAACCACCAAAGACTCAGGCTTGATCTTGTTCCCCAATAATGAAGGTCCCTGATCTTATTATGAAGGCGCAGACAGCTAAGTGATTAAAATACAAAGGCTTCTATATTTGCTAAAATTAGTCTGATAATTTCAATGAGGACCTTTCACAGATGGCTTTAGTGCTCTTATTCAATGCATGTCAATGTTGATAATCCCAATTAGTCCAACCAGGTACTATTCTGCAAACCGAGAATTTCTGTAAAAAAATCTTTAGTGGGACGATTTACTGTAAAGAACAACTTAGGTTGATTAATTCCTAGAGAAACATCTCAATTTCTCACTGCAATGTGGTTCAATATGTTTCCTTAAGTACTTAGGACCATTAGTGAAATAATGACAACTATAATTCAGGGAATAATTTTTCTATTGGCACATAGGTCCATCTTTAATGGGGTTAAAACTTGTCTTAGTAGCTGGTTAAAACAGTATCCCATATAGGACCATGCACCTAATTCATATAGCAAATTGAATCATAATTACTGTGGCTTTTGCCCACTGCCTGCTTAGATTAAGGATCTATACATTTATGCCAACATTGCATTAATATGGTTAAAAAAAAATTATTATGGCCAAAGTATTTATGGAAGTAAGTAATCTCATAGTTACAAATGTTAATATAATTTGTTAGGATTCAAGACTGTTTTAATATTGGTTTATTCATTTCTTCGATTTCCTTGTTTTGCTCCCTTCCACTGCTCACCTGCATCCACTGTATAAACTATAAAACCTGTCTAGTCTTCAATTGCTATTTGTCATTTCTTCTGATACACTTTAAAAATTCATATCCTGCTTGCTTTTCTTTCAGTTCTGTAAATGTTTTTAAATTGTTTTTGTTATTAGTTGTTATTGTTAAATCTTTTTGTCAGTTTTTGGATTTTGGTTCTACGTTCTACAATAATAATATAATAATCGCCTTTTTTTCTAATAGAAGTACATAATTATGAAGTAGAGAACAGGTTTTATCAGTTCTTAAAAATAAAAAAATTTATTTGGCAGGAATATGTGTTCATCCCAATGCTTCATATACAACTTTGCTTTTACACTATAACTGCAAGTCATTTGGATATTTTGTTTTCCATTTTAACATTTGCCTATTTTTTACAAAAAATTTTTTTTTACAACTCCATAACAGATTTTCTTTGGGATTTACCCTACTTTGTGCCCTTTTTGTCTTTTCTCCCATCAACTATTCTAAGTAAAGGCATTCCCACAGCATGATACGACACTTCTGTGTTTCATAGTTTCATGGTTTGTTCAGAGTTATGTCAGTTTTGAATTTCTTAATGAAGATCTAAATTTTGATCTTATCTGACTTAGAGCTCCTCTTTCACATGTTTGCTGTATACCACCCATTGTTGGTAGTTAACAGGTGTTATTTCGAAAAAGCATTTTTTTTTTCATCATTTGTTTACAAGGACCAAATTAAATTTTTTTCACATCTCAATACTATTGCAGTCAATTCAATTAGTTTATTTATATAGGGCCAATTCACAACACATTTAATCTCAAGGCACTTAACAGTTCACCAGATCATACAGTAAAATTGATTCAAAGTTTTCTATCTCAGTCCTGTAAAAATATTTTTCAAGTCAGCTTAAGTATTTCTGCAGATCTATGCTCTCAAAAGTGTCTGGATTAAACTTAAATTTCTTTTTGAAATCTTTTATTTTACACTTCTGCTCTACTTTGCCTTGATGTGTCATAAAACCCCAATGAAACAATATTTTTTTGGTATTAAGATGTTTTTCAGGCACTGTAAAAAGTGTTCATTCCAAACTATTTAATGAGGGAATAAGGATATCCCATGTAGTTATACAAATAGAGTAAAAAAGAAATTAATCTCCACTCTAATTCTAAAACAAAAGTTAAACCACAGGTAACCTAGATAAATGCCCACATAACCCTGGCACTTGTATAAAAAAAAAAAATTCTGTCCTGAATTTATGTAATGCCAGAAATATTACATGTTTTGAAATGTGTGGGATTTTCTGCTTCAAAGAAGCTTTTAAGGATTTTCCAAATCAGGCCAGAATGTTTCGCCCAAATCGGCAAAAATCTCAACAAGTCCAAGCGAGATGCAAACAAATATTTTTTAGCTCTAAAAAAGCAGGAATTGTTTTCAACAATTGCCCTGACCTAGAAAGCAGCTGCTTATGATCTTTCTCTTTCCTCCGCAGTGCAGGCCTTTGGGTTAAGCTGTTAAGAAAGGAGTTATGCCAAAGACGAAAGTACTAATAAGATTAGCATACGTTAATTACTGCTTAATGAGGTCAACTCCTTATAGACGTAGGATTAATGGGTAAATGACTGAAATCATGGCAATGTATCACTACTTAAAGCTTAATGATGGCAGAGAGGCATGCATGGGGCCTGAAAAAATAAGAGAAGAGCTAAAAGAGAGTCCTCCAGGCCAGGGCAGAAAAACGGTGAGCAAGGAGAGAGAAGAAGACAAGAAGAGCGCCATGGAGAGGGACACACAGACAAGATGTTGGCCCTCAGGGTTAGATGGAGAAGGTGAGGAAAATAACTTGAGTGGGGCGGCGTGAGTAAGTGAGAAAAAGAGAGGTGAGAGAGGTTTTTGAGCTAACCCAACCCCTGGGCTTTTACAGAGAGTCTTTATGAGGCCCGGTTGCAGCTTGTCTCTGCACTCAAACTCCAAATTCCACCGAGGTTTGTGGACAGGATGGCAGCAACTTGCCACTGCTCACGAGGAAAAGCTTCATTCAGCAGAGATGGTGCTTAGACACACACAAACACACACTTACACTTATTCATGGAGACACTTGGAAAGATGTAACACTCACAGACCTGCACACGTCAATATTTCATTGGACAGAAACCAAGAATGGTGCTGCTATTTTAAAACTAAGACACACACAAAAAAACAAGCAAAAAAACCAAATGTCCTTCTGTTGAATTTTTTGCAAGCATCAATATCAGCAAGCAGAGAAACTAATTAAAGAGCTTGTACTTTCATTGCCTTCAGCATGAACTTGATGCACCTTTAGTGAGAAAAGTGGATGGCAAAAACAGACATATCAGGAGAAATCTTGCACAGCTAGTCTGAAAGAAGGACTTTACTGAAGACAGCACAGAGCTCTGCTTTAATACAGGCCATCACAGTGTACAGTGTATGGAACCTGTGTTTGTGTCGTTCCTCTAGACTGCCTCCTTGTTATGTTTGGCTACACTTTGGGCATGCCTTATATTCAGCGACTCTAACTTCCCCCCCTCAGCAGCAGGTCTAATGATATTCCCTCTGCACCAGATTAAAGAATTAAACGGCACATTGTCACACCTATTAAAAATATGCTTTACATTCAACTATAAAAGTTTGGTTTATTGGCTAAAAGAGGTAAAAAAAATCCTTTGTGCATAAAATTTGCAAGACACATAAGAGGATCATTACGCTCTATGAAATAAGATATTTGCTGCAAAAACACCTGTGCCCTGGATGACTTCTATAGATAGCTTTAAATTTGAGCAAGATTGTTTTTTGAAAGTACAAAATGGTCTAATTTTCAACCTGATTTTCACTAATAATCATCCCTGAAGATCACAGAAGTGTAACACATTTTCCCGCAATGTAGAGACAATAGAAGGAAATAACAACAGTCACATGCATATGCTGGGTTAGTGAAAGCAATACATCCAGTCCTAACCAGCTGGTGTAAAAGCACCTGTTAAAGCCCTGAATGCCGTTGTTTTAAAATGGGCTAAGTATGCACCACAACCTGCTTAATCCCTTCCACCAACATGAACACAGCACCAAGAATGCTTACCTCTGTCTCTTGCTTTCCCGAATGGTCCCTTCAGCCTTGATGGAGATGCTGAGGGCTCAGAGACTTGGCCAATGGTGAGAGGTCGCTCAGGGTGCCTTGAAGAGGAGGGAGGGTAGGTGGTGGTGGTGGCAAGGGGGGGTGATGTGTGCAGATATGACAAGTGTCTAAGTGTCAGTGTATGTGTGTGTATGTGTAGGTCTGTGCGCACCAGTGGACCCGAGTGCCCTGCCGCTTATGTGTGAAGGTAGGCACTGAGGCTGATTGGAGCGGAGCGATTGCTTTTGGTCACTCCGAGTGCCCCCCCCCACACACCTCCCACCACCATGCAGTACACACACTTTCACAATCGTCTCGAACAGAATACACACACTTTAGACACAAAGGGAATCAGAGGGCAATGAGGAAACGAAGCTTTATCCGTTACAAAAGTACCTTTTCATTTTTTGTTGTATCAGACAGAAATATTTGTCCTTCTGTTCCCAAGGTGAAACTCTAGAGTGTGTTACTTTCATGTAGGGGGGATCCATGAGGCCCTTGTACACAATGGGACCTCTGTAAGGACTCCCTGCTAGCATGGTGCTGAGAGGAAGTCCCAGCTCAGAGGATAGTCTCTACCCTCCTTCCTTTACAGATAAATATGAGCTATCCTTGCAGCATCCATGGTCAGTAAACCGGGTTCACATCCAAGAAAACTCAAAATTAAATTAAATCTTTTCCTTGACGAGGCAAAGTAACACATAAACCTGTTAATTTACACTCTTTGCCTTCTTGGCTATTCCAATAAGCCCTCCTAGACTTTTTAATCAAATTTAAATAAACTATATATTTTAAAATAATTCCTTAATGATTGTGTTATATTGTAGTTCTTTCAGGCTCAAAATGATTATTCTATGCTGACAATTATGTTTTTCAAAACATTTTTAGAAACGGAACTGCAGCAAACAGCATTGGCATCTAAGGCAGGAACCTATGCAGGAGGAGACACAGGTTAGTGACCACATCTATCTGGCAGACGATGATAATAAACGAGTGAGTAACTAACCTGATCTTACATTTCACTCCATGCCCAGAGGATGAAGTTGATTCCAGCCGGTCGACTGCCGATAAGACACAGCGGGTGTCGCCCAGAGAGTCACAGACACTGAAGCAGGTGGATCCTATGATCAGTAATGAGAACTGGGCAGAGATAAACAGATGAGTGAAATGAGAAATCAGACCAGAAACCAGCGCCGAGATCATGACAAAACAGCCATTATAGTTGTTTAGGTCCTTGATACATTAGTATTTGCTAACATTATTAATTTTCTATTTTATCTTGTTGCTTTAGTTAAACCAAAATCCTTTCTGATTGGTTGCTCGGTACCTTGTAACAACTAAGAGAAGAGTTGTTACAAGGTACTGAAGAAGAGTCTTCATGTAAAGCTTATCTCAGAAAAAAGAGACACAGATACAGCTGGCCAACCCAAAAAGAAACTCTGCAAAGTCAAAGCCAGGACTAATAACACTGACATGACTGCAGAAAGACTTAGTTTGGGACTTGGCGCTTATGACCGGCTTAATTGCTAATTTCATTCACCTTAGATTTAGACAACTTTTTTGTAATTTTGTATACATAGTGTTTGTGTATACCAAACGAAATTTCGTTTTGTACAGCTTTCATGACATTTTCCATTTTTCATTCTTCAAACTTCTTATCTCCTGGTTCTGAATCCTGGGCACGTCCTCAACCCCCGCTTTGGCTTCGCTCTCTGGATTATCCTGCCTTCCTTCGTCTGCCTGGATCAGGTCTACTGCTTGTTCTTCGTCCTCCAGGGCTGTGGCGTCTGGGACTCTCTGGGCAGCGCCTGCTGTATCTAGTTTTCAGCTTAGCGGCTTGATCCTACTTCATTCTCCGGGCTTGGACTCAGCTGGTAAACCAGGTTAGTGACTCACGTTCATAATCATCCTCCTTCAGACTAACATTGTCACTAACCTCCAACAGAGTTTCCTGCCTTAGATGTCCTTGCTGTTACTTTAGATCCATTATTTTGAAATTAGCACTTTTGAGATATCTGTTGAATACTGGCTCCTCTGTTCTGAGCCTTGACATCTGCATGGAGTTAGCATGTTGATACTGTAAACATTCTGGTGCTTACGCTTATTCTCACAGTCAAAAAAGCATTGTTACTATGTATGCTTACGAGGTGTCTGTATTCTAGAAAATATTAATTAGCCTCAAGAAAGGCACTAGTTAATAGAAAGAAAGGTGTCTTTTACAATTACATTGCCGGTAGTTTTTGAACTGAGAGCTTATCGAAGGTCCCAAAGGTTCCAAACCTCTCCTTCTTTTCCCTTGAATGTTCCCTCAATGGAAAAGTTAAATTGAAAGTTATCTTTCAGAGATTTTGATAGTTAATTAGTTGTTCACATTAATATAATTAAGGTATCTCATTAGTTGTGCAAACAAGAGCTTTCAAAGAATGTTGTGATTTGGTGTTTTTTAAGCACAGGTGTACAACAAACACATTTAAGTTTTGTCTCAAATTGCCAACCTCTCCCGCTCATCCCCTGGTAACCCTAGACCTTTTGATGAGTGAGAGACACAGGAAGGAGTGGGGAGGCTGGAAATATGTCAGCGCCTGCTATATGAGCTAGGATTTCTATTCAAAGCCTTTTTTTGATTTGAAGTTTTTAAATGAGGAGGATCAAATTCAATCTTCAAATTATTACATCTTTATAAAGCGACTGATGAAAGATTGCATGAAGGGGCATTATTTGGAACATGAAATGCTTAAAGCTGGTTTTTGTAGATTTGTTTAAGTTAATACTTTTTAAGAGAAGTTGTAAAAGAATTAAAAAACTGCTAGCCTGACTGAAGAGGATTGATGATGCTGCAAAAAACACCAAGATTTTGAGGGAAAAAACTTTTGAAAAAACACATGACAATTTCATTTTAAAGCTTTGATTTACGGATACATTTCTTTTTCCAATGTGAATTTCAAGCATTAGCAACTGAATTTTTCTTGATGGGGAGCTGATGGCTAATGGCGGAGCTCCAAAGCAGCGGCCAAGAACAGCTCTTCTCGACAATTTCACAATTTTCTACAACACACGCTCCCCCCCCCAGTAGATGCAGCAAACAATGACTTCCTAAATAAACTGAAAGATTTCTGTTGAAGGTTTGAGGCACTAAACAGCACTCCAGCAGTGAAAGCCGTTCCACACCAGGAGGAGGAGACACTAAACCTGGACATGGCTGAAGTGAGGAAGTCTCTGAGGAGAGTCAACCCAAGGAAGACGCCAGGGCTTGATAACAAACCTGGGTGGGTGTATAAGGAGTGTTCAGATCAGCTGGCTGGTGTCATCACAGAAATTTTTTTTTAACACCTCGCTGGACCAATCCATAGATCCAGCATCCTTCAAGTACCATTATTCCAGTCCCAAATAAGCCTCGGGTCAACTCCCTAAATGATTACCAGCCTGTCACACTGACTCCAATCATGATGAAGTGCTTTGAAAGGCTGGTTAAAGAACACATTGTCTCCAGTCTGCCGCCAACATTTGTCTCATTCCAGTTTGCCTACCGACGCAACCGCTCAACTGAGGATGTCATCTCTGCTGCTCTCCACCTGAGCCTGGCACACCTGGAGGAGAAGAACACCCACGTGTGGATGCTGTTCCTAGACTTCAGTTCAGATTTCAACACCATCATCCCACAGCATCTGATGGGAAAACTTGAACAGCTGGGCTTCAATACAACCCCTCTGCAATTGGCTGCTAGACTTCCTCACCAACAGACCTCAGTCAGTCCGGGTCAGACAGAACACCTCTGATGTCATCACTCTAAGCACAGGCTCCTCTCAGGGCTGCGTCCTGAGCCCCCTGCTATTCACTCTGATGACACATGACTGTGTCCCCAGGTTCACCTCCAATCACATTGTGAAGTTTGCAGATGACACCACGATGGTGGGCCTCATCAGTGATGACAACGACCTGGACTACAGAGAGGAGGTGGAGCAGCTGGTGGACTGGTGCAAAGATAACAGCCTGATCCTGAACGTTGAGAACACAAAGGAGATAATCTTGGACTTCAGGAAGAACCGGCCTAACCACGCTCCACTGCTCATTAACAGCTCAGCTGTAGAGGTGGTCAACAGCACCAAATTCCTGGGGGTGCACTTCACAGACACCCTCACCTGGAATGTAAACACCACCTCGCTGGTCAAAAGAGCACAAAAGCGCATGTACTTCCTGCAGAGGATGAGGAGAGCCCACCTGCCCCCACCCATCCTCACCACCTTCTACAGAAGCACCATAGAGAGCGTTGCTACAAGCTTTCTAACTGTGTGGTGGGGAGGCTGCAGCAACTCAGACTGGAAGAAGGTGAGAAGAGTCGTGAGAATAGCAGGGAAGATCATTAGGGCTCCTCTTCCCTCCATTAAAGACATTTCATCCCAGCGCTGCGTGTCCCGAGCCCGTGATACCATAAATGACCCCTCACACCCCACCACGGTTCTCCCTGCTGCCCTCTGGAAAGAGACTTTGAAGCATGGGATGCAGGTCCAGTAGATTTCATAACAGTGTCTTCCCCACTACCATTAGAAAGTTATTTCATAGAGAGTGCACAGAGTTATCTGTCTGACCATGATTTGAGCTCAGTTTACACTTCCACTTGTTGTACTCAGCTTCTTGTCCATCTTTGATGCAACCAATGACTGCAGATTCATCTGAGTATTTCTGCAGATAACTGACTACTTGATCAGACAGCTGATCCTTCAGTCTAACAAACTGCAATTGTTGATGCCTCCACCCTAGTCTTCTGAAGTATCTCACAAAGTAAGTCGGGCTGAACTGTGTTAAATACAATTGAAGAACATGACATCAGTGTTGTCTGCCTTGTCTAAATGACATGTTCACAGAACAATATATAATCAGTCCAAATATTGATTAGATCAATTATTTCACATCCCTACTATGGTGGGCTTTGAACAAATAGTCAGCTACAACTTAAAAAGAACATCTTAAACGTTTGTTTTAAACTTTGTTTACTAGCTTATGATGCATATGATGGTTATCAATTGTGTTTACAGTCCAATTAAATATATTACGCACCTCGAATGGCTAAATGGGTTCGATATTCAATAGTTATGTGAATGTATTTTGGTAGTGAAAAAAAAACCCATGATAATGACACAATCACATGGTATGATTATTTTGAGATGTTTTATTTGTATTTATCAGAATTTAAATGGAACCTCCTGCTCGGTGTATTCAGGAAAAAAAAGACCAAGATAAAAAAAGTTGGCATAATTCACATTGTTGGTATGCAAAACAATAAGCATTGTTGGCCTTGAGTATTCACAGTATTCTACTCACCTTATCCCAATATTAAATACAAATAAATTACCAACTTTATATATTTATACATATTTAAAGGAGACAGTTTCTTATTATAAGCAAATAAAAATAAAAACATTTAACACAGGACTGTTTATTTAGCCTCTGCCTACAAATACAAAATAGCAAAAGAAAAATAAGAATATGGAGATTTTGCAATTTAAAAAATTCAGTCCGAAATCTCTAGACATTCCATTAACACATACAGTTTGCTTCCTGTATTTATTTACACTTGTTAGACGGTACTATCTTTAAGTTTAGAAGTCTACACACAGTTTATTTTTCACTGACATAAGGCACAACTAGTGGTCAGCAAATTTTATATCAAGAACAACTATTGATCAGTGTGTTTCTTTTAGATTTAATTCCTGTTCCACTTCAAAGGCTTCCCAAGACGTAACAATGAAAAACTTGATGTTAGCTTAAACTTTGCAAATCTCATATATTGGAAAAACATCAATGTCCTTTTAATAGTTGCGAATTACCAAATTAGCAAGCAACATTTAGTTGCTTTGTGGTTAGATAACAATAGACCTAAGGAGACGAAAGCACATGACCACATCCCTGGGAATTGGTGGACTGATCTCATTGCCATCCAGTCGGAGATAACGCAGTTTTGGCAGACTTTCATTCATGGAGTCATCCAGAGAATCAAAAGAGATGGGACATACCGAGGAGCCATTCACACCTGGAAAGAAACAAATAGAAATGCCATAAGACAGATGAATAACAACCCTTTAGGTTCCCGAAATATTTTCTTCTTGCATTATAACTTACTTGCAATCTTGTTGTGGTCAAGGTAAAGGTGTTCAAGGCCTGACGGAATGACTGGGACTTCTGTTAGTTGATTGTGAGACAGTTGTAGGTCCAGCATACTGGAGATATTAAAAATGTCTTTTGGAACACCACCGCTGCCAAGTTTGTTGTGGTTGAGCCTTAGAAAAGCCATTTTTGGCAAACCTTTGAAGTAGTCAGCAGGAATTTTTTCAATGTTGTTACCATCTAGAAAAAGCTGGGTGGTTGTGGGTGGCAGTCCAAGGGGCATATTACTCAGCTGGTTCTTAGCAAGATTGATTTGAACCAGGTTGGTAAGACCTTTTAGGCTCACTTCAGTGACAGCATCATCCATCAGCTTGTTCCCCTGGAGATCTAGCAAATTTAGCTTATCCATACCAACAAACACTCCAGCAGGAATTTTGGAGATGCGATTGCGAGAGAGACGTAAGTGCTCAAGGCTGACTGGGAGTGGAGATGGTATAGTGGACAGCAGGTTATCATCCATATATAGGTGAGCCAGGTGTTTCATTGTACCCAGGACACCTTTGTCTACTCCGTCACTTGTAATTTTGTTGCGGTTTAGGTTCAGCCAGCGCAGCTGTGTTGCATTCTGCAGCGCATCTGTTGGCACTGTTTCAAGTAGATTATTCTGCAGATAGAGATACCATGTGTAGGGGGGGATTTTAGGGAAGCTCTTTAGCCCCTTGTTGTCACAGTACACTGCACGGGGGAAGTTTGGGGGACAGCTGCACTCCTTTGGACAGGCTTGGATCTGGGCAAGAAGTTCCTCGTAAGGCATGTCCTGGCTGACAACTAGAGTTATCAGGCACAAAATACTGAAAAGCTTCTGGAGGGTAGCCATGTCAACCTGAAAGAGCAGATAAGCACAAAATGTAATTAGCTTAATGGCTAGTGAACAATAAGAAATTCTTTAAGAACGTAACTTTGAAGAGTCTTCATAAGGCATTTGATAGAGTATAGAGGAATAAAGTCTACATTTCCAGCATTAAATAGAGCTTAATTTAAGTGCTAATAAAAAAAAAAACAGTGCCTGAAAGTCATTGTTTCTTCTTCTGTTATTACTTTGATGTCACAGACAGAGCTCAGGAGACTGGCTGTTGAGCCTTGTCAACTTTCTCTTGCATTAGATAAAACTTACTCTTGGCTCTTCAGTAGCAAGATGCTCCTTGTTTTCTTGTAATTATAAAAAGCTACAACAATGCTCCCTAAACATCTTGATTAAGAACAGCTTAAGTAATTAAAGATGCAATTGATGGCATATGCATTATGTATGGATTAGATGTATGTGACAGAGAACATAAATTCACATAAACTCAAAAATACAAATTACAAGAGGATTAGAAAAGATCTGGAGGATTTCTTTTCATCTCCTGTCAGTCTTCCTTTTTAAACTTTTGCTTGACTTGTCTTAGCTGCCATCTGGTGCTTGTTTAAATTCTTGATGCGCTGCAGGATTGTCTGGAACTCATTTTGCATAGGCAAAGCTTTTTCCACAGATGAGCTCACTTCAAAGACAAAGTTTGAATCACCTCCTTTCAGAGTTGTGCCTGTGGTTACAGAGGCTAAAGCTTTCTACCCTTATTTAGTACACAAAATGTGGCATTATGGTAGAGATGTAATTCCATCAAGCATCAATGAGCCTGGTAGACAAAACACTGACCAACAATAGAAAACAGATCTGTTTCTATCACTAAATCATAGAGAACATTTTGATGTTTGTCATTCTAATATACTTCTTCACCTATAATCACATGGAAGCATGAGTAACCTCTTTTTTTGGAAGTTCTTCTTACCTTTAATTCTTCAAAGTTTCTCTTTGTAGCGTCCTTCGTTGGGAAATGATTAAGCGTGGTCTGAAATGACAGGGATGCCCCTCTTACTTCCCTGTATTTGTACCACAGCTTGTTTCATTCAACATGTGCCAACCTGTCGCTCAGGATGAACTTTAAGCTGTTCTTAGCCAATCAGGTGGACCCAACAAGAGGGTTCATAATCTTCTGTATAGGTTGTTAAGTATTTTTAACTTTTAGAGACATGGCCCACTTTGCCTAGATGTTCTTGCTCGTGGACTGCTAATGTCCACATGGACAGTCCTTCCTCCCAATGCTGGCTCCTCTTAACAAATTAATCCAATGTCCTTTATCGACCTTTGAGCTAGATTTGTGCGTCATATGTTGACAGTACAATTAGGGTAAATTACCCTGCAAGTTGGAAAAGTTTACAGCTTACAACAATGATAATTAAGGGTCTAAAGTCAGTTTGAAACCCACTGTTCAGTCATACTGTAATTACATCTGCCCATTTTATGGGACGTATCACTTGAGGAATAATGGTTGCTAATAACTGCATACTTGTTTTGTTCTCCTTACCCACATTGAGTGTTCCTGGTCCATTTTCTTATCTTTAGTTTTGCTTATGTTGTTTTTGTTTTATTATTTTGTTAATTTAGGATTTGAATGGGCTATTACTGCCCTTAACTCCTTGAGAACCCCTGATCAACACTTGACCTCTCATATAGAGCCTGGTTCTGCTGGAGGTTTCTTCTCATAAAGGTTGATGGGTCCTCCCTACAATCAGGGCGAGCTTGCTTGGGTTGTTGATTGCTGCAAAGTCAGTGACTAGATGCACTTGGTAGGACCCCTTCTGATACTTTACTTAATATGTAATTTATGTAACTCATTAGATAGTATTTAATGAGTTTTACTGAACAGGAGTGTATATGAATAAATTCAGTCTTATCTAAATTCATATAATTAATACAAATTGGGAAGATTAATTATAATTCAATTTGTCTACACAGGATTTCATATAATTTTTTTTTGTTTTTTGTCATGTAAGATGACCTAAAAAGACGTTTTTGAACTGGCATTAGATCAGCTGAAATAAGTTGGATATAAAATATATTTTGCCTGAAGATTTTCACTGAGAGTATTTTGGAGCGTGACTGCACATTGTTGATCTATGCTGCAATGAGATCATTATTCCTCTCACAACAATGCTGAAAGTTAAAAATATTAGCTGTAGGTGCAAGAGGTTTTAAAAGACAGAGGTTACACTAACTGTAAAAAGATTTTGCAACAAGAATGCAATATAAATTGTGCAGAAGCCAGATAACATCAGGATTACTGGCCTTTCAACAGGCAGGAATGGGACTGTGCCAGTTTCTGTCAATGATGGCAAAGGCGTAAATGCTGCAGGATAATCCTCGCCTACCTGTGAGCTTAGGAGCAACACTTATCCATGATCAGCAGTGCAAGCCCATTAAAGTTTCTGCTTTACTTCCTATGGTGTATTTATGTTGATTGATAGTTGAATTGCACAAACTCTGCAGATTGCCTAATGGATTGTTAACCCAAAATAGGATTTTGTTTATATCAACAGTAGTAGTAGTAGACAGGTTTTAATACTTTTTTTTTATCATGACAAAGCACAATGATTATCTTCAAGCCATGTGGGTTTAATCATCTCTTCAAGAGACAATATTAGCGCATGGCCCATGTGTACATTATGAATGTTTTCACTGGTATCTCCAAGGGAAAACATATACACTTCAAAGTGTTGCTTTGTTTTAAAACATCAGGGTGTCAGTAATGTACATTGATTGAATAAAATAGCAAAGAGCTGCTGGAACTGACGGCATATCTGACTAGAAAATTATCTTGTGCGCAAAATTTGATGCCGAACTGTGAGTCAGGGCTTTACAATGCCCGTAAAATGAAACACATGTTTACTGAAAACAAATACTGGCAACAATGTGCCTGGGAAACTAAAGAGAAACACATGCTGGGGATTCTCAAAGTGCAAATTTTCTGCCAGGGTCTTTTACAGTGAGCCAGCAGATGTAATTACACAGCAGCCTTCATTTGTGCAATATGAATTTGCAGAATTGTATCCACTTTATAGCTTTACTGAAATACACCACATGAGTTTGCAGTTTGTGGGAGTTTGTTAGCATGGATCAGTATATCTAGAGTTGGGAGAAGGCAGCTTTGTTTATGGGTAATTATTGTAAAGAGGTGAATTATACTGATCCATCTTGTTTGGAAAATTCATAATAGTATGTTTGCAAAGTGAAGCTAAATGGAATGTAACATTTTATGTATATAAAATCCCTACAACACATTATATTTAACTTTTCTTTTTGTCATGCATGTTTAAGCTTTGGCAAGAACTCTGAAGAGTGGAAACAAAATAACAAAATCACTGCAGTCATTTAATTCATCATTAAAACATCAACTGCAACATTTTGCAAGTATTTATCAAAATATCAGAATAAACTATCAATTTTACCTGGTTTTCCAGATGAAGTGAAAGATTTGCCTGCAGCCAGCTGAGGTCTGGCTATGATTCCTCTCCAGTGATGATTGTCCTCTTCCACAGCACTTGAACCTTAGTTGCTGTTGTTAGATCTTCCCAATGCAACACCTTGCACACCGGGTGAACCGAGTGGATAGAGCATGTGTTGTTGGTGGGAGGACGACTGTAAGCTGGGATGTCCTTTCAGAAATTGTCACTTAACTTTTTCTGCCAGCCCAGCTGTTTTTCTCCCACCTCTTTTACATTTTATTCTGAAATCTTCGGCCCTCTGTTGGCCCTGGAGAGATAAAATACTGGAAACCAACCCAACTAAACCCTTTATTCCTTCAAGAAGGGTATGCTTTTTGCCCATAACTCTTGAGGATCGGTGCTGGGTCAGTTTATTGCTCATTTTTAACAAACAGGCCTTAGGCTGACAGGTGGGGTTATAGAAGGGCTACTCGCTCCTCTTTTCTTACAACCTAAGGCAAATTCTTGTCTTTCTTTATCCCTAATAAAGAAGAAAGCCCCCCCCAAAGGTACTCTTTGAACATAATTCTTTGTAAAATATGTACTTAAGCCGCACCTACGGTATGTTTTTAAAATTGGGTCCACTACAAAATATTTTATATTGTTTCTTTTTGTCTTTATAAAATACCTTTTTAAAAATGCCTAAAAACAAAGTATATGGATTAAAAATACTAGACATTGATCCTCACATAATTTGACCTATATCCTAACACAGCCTAGTCAAAGTCCAGCTATAAAAGTGATGTCATAACAGGTTTGGGATGCTAGTAGACTTGTACCAAACAGAACTGAAGGCTGAAAATAACCTAATAGGTGTTTAAACTCGTGCAACCATGTTATCACACAATATTTAGAATTTCAATAGAACTCTTGTACAGAATAAAGGATATTATGAAATAAGGTTAATAGTCCTTATACTGTCTCCTTTTCATTTTGGCTTAAAGGTATAGTGGAAGATTTTTGTGAGTTTTTTAAAAGACCTGCCATCTCCATCCTGCCATGTACAACCCTGTACCTGCTCCCCAGAGGGAACGCCTATTTTACGTGTGTGAGAGCATGCAAAACCCATTTCTCCTCGTGCACGCTCTGTTAAAAAGTTGCTGTTCTAATTGCTCATACAAGCTTACTGTGTCCAAACATCTGCCCTAACCCCTAAATCATTATATAGAGTAGGGAATACATAGTGGAATTTATAGCGAACTCAGTTGACTGACCGCTCGGACAGATGATTACTACTTTTTGCTGCCCGTTGGTCAAGTCACTCCTTCTCCACTGTGCTGTGCTTGCACCATCTTTGTTATTAGTCGCCGGGTAATGACAGCCAATGGCCGCTGTTACAGCAAATCCCATGATGCTTTGTGAGGAGAGTTTTCTGCACAAAGCATTCGGGGTTATATCTGCCTCTTCTTAGGCCTTTCTTTTATTCGAATACACTTCATTGACATTTACTTTTACGACCCTTGGGCCATTTTCAAAGAACCGCATTGAAAAAGGTTGAGCTTCAATGACTGTCTGAAACCATGGCTCACCACACATATACGCCTGAAAGTGTGCATGCGCAGACAAAGATAGTTAACGGGAAGAGCATGTAGGACAGCCTTACAGTATGTAAACATATCACCAAAATGATTTACAATTAGGAGGACCACTTATTTAGATGATCCACCCAGAAACAAAAGATCATCCTCTATACCTTTTAATAAAATAAAAATAAAAAAAGACTAGTTTGCTTTGAGGACCCTTTGAATTCCCTAAATTAAATTAGGAAATTAAAAACTCATCATCATCATCATCATCATCATCATCAATCATCATCATCATCAATCATCATCGATCACTTTTTTTGTTTGATCACTGGTAAAGACATGAAAAAAGAAAAGCAACTTCCCACTGGTAAAGTAGAAACATCAAGCCTTTATTTTCATCTTTAAACCCTTTTGAAGAGATATTTCTGTTTTACCAAATACAAAGATGTTGTCACTCCTACAAACGTTTAGGAAAACAATTTCATCATTTATACTAGTTTGGTCACAGTGTTCGTCAACATTTAATCGGTAGATTTATAATCATGTTATGACCGATTTGCATATTTCTTAAGGCCATTCTACAAAATACAGGAGAAAATTGAATTTTTGTTAGATGTGTGCTGAATGCTGATTAACATAAATCATTAAAAAAAACTAAAACTTTAATCAGCAAGGTTGAATTAAGACGTAGGTGTACAAAAACTTGCCATTCAGTAGGGTGGATTGTAATGCTGGTAGAGAAACAAATATTGCACTAGATGATAAAAAAGTGCAGAAAATGTGGCTTTGAGCTCTGATTAGCCTGCATTTTATTTTGGGCTAATCAGAGTTTAACAAATGGAAATGCTAAAAGATGGGGAAAATTTTTTTTATAAATAAAATAAATTATATATATATATATATATATATATATATATATATATATATATATATATATATATATATATATATTCAAGTAAGGAAAAAGATAATGATTGAAAATATAGTCGGTCATGATAGAAGTATAAAGTGAAAGGAAATCTGGAATCAAGAGGAGAAACAGATGAGAAAGATGATGGATGGACACAGAAGATAAGTGCCAACAGGAAGAACATCTGGAGATGGTCTGTTCTAAAGAATAAACTTTGGAGCTGGACTGCCAGGCCGCAAAAGCTGATTGTATGTGCACTCAGTGTGTGAAGTGGAAAGAGATTTGAGGCTTACCTCTTCATGAAGGACTTTATTGTCTAGACACAGACAGCAGGAGCTTTACTCCTGGATTTCAAATAAGGGCAACAGCAGAGGGAGAGGGAGGAAATTGCCCTAGATTTAGAGTTGGTGCAAATGACTTTATGAAAACATGTGAAATAAGAAAGAGTGGTTAAAGGAAACATGTTACACGATGTAATAAGGGTTTTGGGGGTGTGAAGATGGTAGATTTATTTTTCTTCTAACTCCTGACTGGTATCAGGGTTACAACAGCGAATCAAAAAAGACATTTAGAATAATCCCAGAGGAGGCAATGTAAGTCCTAAACCTCATTTAAGAAAGACAGCTACTGATCCTTTAAAGGATCGTTGAAGGTTACTTAGGGTGGTTTTTGAGATCATTTTTGTTGTTCAACTGTTTATAGAAAAATGCTTGAGGGAATAAATAAAATATATCGTTCACTTTGAAATCAGACATCAAACCAGCAAACATACAATTTAGCCTTGGTGCAATAAGGTATGTACATACACTGTATAAAATATTAAAAAAACATATTTTATTTGATTTTAAATTGGTGTTTTCTTGATCTCAGAATAATCTGTTTAAGATTATTCCAATTAATTAATTTCCTTAAGCTTTCTTCAAAGTCTGATTTGTATGCATTGAGAGAGATCTGTTGAAATAGTTTAGGTCAAGCCCAACTATTGATGTCAATGTTTTAATCCTCTGACTCTTTTTCAGATTGCGGATGCATTTTATCGTGACAGCTTTTACATAACCAACCAACTTATGTGGTTGATATCAGGAAGATCATTTTAGGCCTTCTAAAGTCTAAAATTCTGAGAAATTGATCTAATACAGGCCAAATCAATTGATGCCTATTCTTTATGCATAAAAAAAAAAAATCAGTTATATTTAGATTGGGCAATTTCTAATCTAGACTAAGCTTTCATATTTTATTTCGAGTTTCATAGATGCATGTTTGTTGCATAGGTTTGGTTAGAATGTAATGTACTAAACTAGGAAGAGCAACAAGTTCATAAATGTGCATCAGATCTTTATATTGCTGAGAACTTAAAAACAAGAGAAAGATTGATCAAAAAGGCTTAAGTTAATATCAAACAGTGCAAGAAGCACAATTTTGAGCAACAAAAGGATATCACGTTGTGTACATCTTCTACTGAAAGCAAAAAATAAAATAAAATACAAAAAAACTCCAGACATGGTTATTCATTTATTTCTTATTACAAGTATACAGAGAGAATGAAACATTAAGCACATTAGCATACTACTTATTGGTTGCTTAAAAAAGTTATTTTAATGTACAGTAGGCGTTCAGTTGATCAAAACAAAACAGTTATTGGGCTTCAAGCTGTTGCTATAATAAAGGGTTAAATTTAAAGCAGGCAACTGTGATTTCACAACACTGGTACCTTCTTTTTAACCACTTTAATACATTCAAGAAGTTAAAATAAAGCTGTTATGAATCTGCACTGCTATTTCACATTTGCTTTCGTTACACACAGAAATCTAAGCATGTAGTTTTTTTCTTGATTGATAGTATATATTTATATATATTTTAATGACATAAACAACTGACTAAACTAGGACAATTAAAAAAGTAACACATTCCCATATGTTAATATTTGGTGTATTTATATACAAAGTTGGAATGTTTAAAGCGTGTGTCTCCTGTTTTATTGTATTCCGATCAAATTATACATTTCTTGTTTCATTTTATATTTTGAAAAAAATTCACTAAGTATATCTAAAGAGATAAAAGGCGAAATGGATAAAATAACTATGAACATTTTATATTTGCATAATGCTTGGAGGAAGTGCACATACATTGAGCTTTACAAAAGGATGGAAACGAAATGACTTAAATCCAGAAGGCTTTGGGTTGAAGTTGTCATAGCTGTAGATGGTGGAATCCTTCACTGGATGGAGGTCCTTATTCAAACATGATATCGGAAGCTTGACGCAGGCAGTTTGCGGATTCAGCAGGCATGTCGCTGTGTGTGATGTTGTTGGCATCCAGACGCAGATGTTTGAGGCGTGAATAGTTCAGGGGTCCTGTGAACTTGCAGAAACTCGCCAAGTCAAACTCTGTGGATGATCAAAAACAAATGATAAACATTTAAATTATCCCAAATTTGTAATCCTTCCTATATGATGTTATTGATGATGAATGTATGGCTTTAAATGATCAGTATTTTGGATGTGAATTAAACAGTTTTAACAAAACATTGACTACACAACATAAAACCTATTGTAAACAGGTTCCATGTAAATATTTTGATAACCTTTTAAGAAATTTAATGTTGGTAATGTTTAAATCTCGTATACAGCACAAACAAATCCTATGTCATTATTTAAATATTTTTTTTCTCTCTGTCTTATATCAGTTAGGATTCTTATTTGGAACAGCTTACATATGTGAGGGATTATTATTACTCAGTTAAACTGATATTTTTTTAGGTATTCTCTTTTTTATGTATCTGAAAAAGCAGGTTGTTAAACATTTAAACTGCAGAACTACAAAATTGCAAATAAATTAAAATGACCAACACAGAACTATTCAGTTTGGTCAAGCAATTGTAGTTCTGTTTTCTGAAAGCTTTAGTTCAATATTCTACTTTAATAAGTTGATAGTAGGATTATCTTGATCTGTGTTGAGGCATAAACTCTTTTATTCTTTTTGGGATTTCAAAAGAATGTCTACTCTTTTTGAGAAAAAAAGCCGAAATGGATAAATCCAGCTGTTTTCCTCCTAGATAAGAAACTCCTCTTTTCAGGATGTTATAAATGATTTATAAACCTATTGAAACATACATCATCATCATCATCTTGAGATAACGACATGATACATTTTTAAACACGGTTTATCCTGGGTTCTGCAATAGCCCATACAGTCGGGTCATTTTTAATGTCATTGTTTCTCTCATGGCTCTTTAAAGCCTATCCTACTACATTGCTTTAATAAAAGCTTGGACCTGTTGAAGCCATACATGAAATTTAGGTTGGAATGTCAATGCAGGAGAGTGGATGTTTTGACTGGTTTGATTTTGTTGACAACTATCAATTGAAATGTAATTTGTTTGTTTATTAAGTTATAGTTTTCGACACATTATTTTAAATGATCTTTTTTTCCTTCATCAAGGGAGGAAAAGCTTTTTTTTTTCATCTACTGGCCCCTTTCTAAAGAGTGATTGAGACTAGGATTGGGTTTTTGTTTGGCTGTCCGTTTTCTCAAATCCCCAGCGCTTAAAGCAGATTGCAGCTTGTATTGAAACTTTCTGCTGGAAAGATCCTTAAGTTAAAAGAGAGCTGTTAGTTTCCATTATTGCCACATTTTCACCTAATAAGAGGGAGTGGTGCAAAGTCAATGGCCATGTCAAAAAGCCCGCCCTAATCACTATATAGGGCACTATTTAGCGGTTACGCCATTTTAGATGAGTGTCTGAGCATCTAGTGGATGAAAAAGTAGTGGATTCGAGATTTCCCCAAATGCAGACCATCCATGGTCACTACACAAGCAGATATATCATGGGATCTGTTGTCACAGCGGCACAATGTCACCACAGGCTGTCACTACCCGACGACAGCAACAGATAACAAAGAAGGCGCTGGCACTTTGTGGGGAGCCAGAGTAATGCGACCAACAGGGAGTGAAAAGTAGTGATTATCTGTCCTAACAGTCAATGATCAATTAACTGAGTTCACTGTAAAGTCAACTATATAGCCCCCGCTCTATATAGTGACTGAGGGATTTGGGGTTGAGGCAGACGTTCATATACAGCGAATGACTTTGTGAAAATGGCTGGGGTTCATTTTAACTTTTTACCAGTTGCTATTAACAAAATTCAGGTAAGAGATTGATCCTGAACTCTTGTGTTAAATAAGGTGGATGTCCTTTATTAGTATTTGAATATGTTCCCTCGTTCTACACCAAATTATCTTCGAACACTGAGTATAAACTTACTGCTAATCTCATTGGCCTGGAGATAGAGCTGCTCCAGCTGCTCGTTGATCTCAGGGATTGACTGCAGTTTGTTGAATGAAAGATCCAGCTCCACGAGTGAAGTCACATTTAAAGCTCCAGAGGGAATCCCAGAATCCTGCAGTTTGTTGTGAGAAACCCTCAGGTAACGAAGGTTGGGAAGCTTTTTCAGATACCCTGCTCCAATTTTGTCAATCTCATTATAATCAGCATAGAGTATTTCCAGTGAAGTAGGGACTCCTGCCGGCAGCTTCTTCAGCTTGTTATGACTCAGGTCCAATGACAACAGCTTCTTTGGCCCTTTGAATGCATCTGCAATGGACTCAGAAGTCAGCTCATTGTGCTGAAGACTAATAGAGGTCAAATTTTCCATGTCAGTCAAGCGTCCAGAGGGAAACTTGGACAACTTGTTGTGCATCATCTTCAGCTCTTCAAGGGACTTTGATGGAGGGATAATTGCCTCTGTGATTTCATTGTTGCTGAAGAAGAGCTTCTCCAGGGCCGATAGTTTGTCGATTGTGCCTTTCTCTATCTTAGCATTGGTTATCATATTATGATCAAGCACCAGCCAGCGCAGGGTGTCAGTAACATTATCAAAAACTCCAGCCTTTATCTCTTCAATGAGGTTGTTCTGGAGATACAGGTACTTGATGCCAGATGGAACTATAGGGACAAACTTAAGCTTGCGGTTATCACAATACATTGCGCTTGGAAAATTGATTGGGCAATCGCATTCTTGATTGCAGTTTGGCCCTGATGGTCCAAGCATGGAAACAGGCTGGTAGTCGTAATCATAATACTGGCACAGGGCAAGGTTGGATAGAATTAAGAGGACCGTGACACGTAGGGGAAACATGGCTTCTGTGGATAGGAGAAAAGAAAGAAAAGCTGACAAAAAAACACATTAAGGTTACATGAACCAGACAGAAGACATTTGAAGAAAACATTCATTAAAAATACTCTTCCACAATTAAATATGAGACATATTTTATTTATTATAGTAATTCAGCTTAATGTGAACATATTCCTTATAGATTAATTATACAATTATGCTTTTCAAGTATTTTAATATATTATAATGTTATGATATTAAAAGTTAATATCACTGAGAAAACATTAAATGGGCAGGCTGTTGCCTACACAATCTAGGGGAGGATCCTGTTAGTAGTCACTTAATGCCCTTAGACAGTTAAGGTCACTGCAATGGTTGGCTGTTTACAGGGTGCCCTAACCAAGCATTCTAAGGTACGTTTGAGAGGAAAATTCAATATTAAAAAAAACATTAAAGCTAATTTAAGGATTGAAGGTGACTGCATATAGAGTCAGTGTTTTAAGAGTCATGATACATAGTTGTTTCTAGTAACCATTATTGCTAAAGTCAAAAGAAGGATGAAATCCACTCAGTGGAACAATGCAGCAGAACCACAGAATGATCCCCTCTATGCCATTCTGCATTGGGGCTGTGATGCATGCAAAGGATCCCTGATCAAGTATTGATTTATTACTGGACAGTAATTACAAAAAGACTGTGGACTGACCTCTCTGGCCAACATTTCAGGATTAAAAAAAATATTTCTTTTTTTTAGTTGTATCATTAGAACCGTATAATGTTATGACAAAACAATAGGTTTAGCAGGAAAGATAAGTACTAGAGCTGCTTTTGATGATTAGTTTGTTAACATTAAATGTTAAAGCAATAAACAATAACATATGGAGAAATAAAATAACATCAACATTTGACAGTGGTGAAAAAAGTCAAACATGCTAAATATACATAGTAGCCACACCCACTGTTCTTGGTATTTTAGTCATATGACTCAATACAAAGCAGTTGGAACCTCATAATTCTTGATCAATGATAAAAAAAGCCAAATGACTGCATTTGAATCCTAAAATAAATAACAATGATTTAAATAAATGCAAAGTAACAATAAATAACAAAACTTTTTTTTTTTCAACATTACTTTTTAAACATTAATGTATCTCAATGCTAATGGCATTGAGATACATAAAAAAAATAAAGTAAAAAAGTGTTTTTTCGGGATATGTTTACAGAATCAAACCTGCAGATAATGTTTTCCTTTACTGATTAATTACAGACCCATTGAACATTCATAGAGTCTCTGGATCAAGCAATTAGGAATTACTCCCTTTAGTTTGAAATGCAAAACATTTCAAGAATCTACATTTTATATTTAGCCATCAAAATCTAAATCATAACATTCAAGAGTTGTTTTTCTGGCAGGCAGATGTATTATTCCCTTCTCTGTTTTAGGCATCAGCCAAAGCCCTGCAGCACCAGTACTTCCATCCGGAAAACAGGAATAAAGAAAAATATTCATAGAGGAAATCTCAAATCCATGCAAGCTTACCTGTGCTTCTCTTTTTTTGAGTGGAGGGCCAAGCGGTAAGAACAATGTGGTGTTCAAACACTGAAAGTCTCTGGAGAAAATCAGAGAGAAAGAAGGAAAGAGTGGGAGGAGTGTTGAGTATTGATGGAGAGACAGAGGGAGAAAGGGGAGGGAAAGGGAGAAGATGGGAGGCTCAAGTAATGGGAGTCAGGGCGTGAAATGTTAGGGGGGATCATTATCATAAAATACAAGCGCTTAAATAATTAATGCATTTTGATGAGTCCTGGAAAATTGTTATATTCACCTCTAATTTTGCATGTCCAGGTAAAGCATCCCTGGGAGAGCGCTCTTAACAAATGGTTAGTAGATCATGTTTGGAAGCAAAACCAAAGCCTGCAGTCTGTGGGGCTGTTTATGGAAAAATTTAGACAAGGAAAAATAAGAAAATGATATCTGGCAGGTTTTGCAACCCAGAGGCTGTTTTTCAACAAGACTAAATTGACCCACAGTCTGCAAGCCAGGCTTCGGAAAATCTGACAAAGAAAGGAATCAAAAACAGCTACAGCAGACTTGTATAACATGTGAGGCAAACCTTTCTCCTCTGTTTTTGACTAGAAGAAATATTTACTATAGGTTGAACCAAATCCAATTGATCCCATATGTTTCCGCCTTCTGACCATAGGCCCTTCATCTCCTTTCTGGTCATAAGGTTTTTGGAAAAGAAGAGGAATTGTTTAAAAAACAATAAGCAATAAGAATAAGCTGAATGGGAAAAAAAATATATGTGAGTGGATGGTTAGCACAACATCAGCTTATAATTAGAACTGACACCTGGATCTAATTGGTCTCTGTGCTGTTTGATAAATGACATTCTTAAACCCCTCTCCTCATCTGTCAAAAACATTTATTCCTTTGATTCTTGCTCAAAATACAGTCAATTGCAAAACAAATAATCCTACTTGAACCCTTCCACATTTGAACCACAAACTTCAATCTGTTTTGTTTTGATTTTATCGAATAGATAACATAAGAAAGTAATTGGATAACTCTGATCTTGAGGACAAATTATACAAAGATATTTTATATAAAAAAAAGGAAAACTATAGTTTGTAGTTGAATCCATTTACTCTGATACCTTTAAAACATATGAAAGGAAGGGAATTCAGAAGTTTTGATTAGATTAGATTAGATTAGATGAGCTTTATTGATCTCACAGCGGAGAAATTCACTTGTCACATATTGGCATAGAAGTCAAAGAAGGTGCAAACAAGGTCACCTTGTATGTAAATATTTGAAGAGTGGATAGCATGATTTCACTGTAAAATCTGAATTCTGCACAGATTTTTAAGAGAACAAGAGTGTGCAAACAGCTTCAGAAAGCCAAAGGAACAAAGCATACCGGTCAGGTTGAAATTTGGGGAGAACTTTAACCCAAGGTCAGGTCATAAAACATGATCTCATGCTTTGAGTATCTCACAGACCATGGAAATAGTATCACATGGCTGAAAACCTACTAAAACAACGCAGCCCACCTCAGCTGATGCCCAATGGGAGAACAGTAATAGAAGAAGCTGGCAGGAGGCCTATGGTAAATCTAAAGGAGCTATAGAGATTAACAACTAATTTTCTGAAAGGAACTACTTTTAGATATTAAGAAGAAAGCCATTGTTGAAAGAATAGCCATAAGATGCTCTGGTTGCATCATACTAAAATATAATACTTTGGTCTACGGTGGTATGTGTGATAGAAAAAGAATACAGTATATTATGCTAAACACACCATCACTACGGTCAAACAAGGTGATGGCGGCATCATGTTATGTAACTGATTTTGTTCAGCAGAAACTCAGTGAAATGAAATTTGATGTTGTCATCTGTGGTTATTTTTATAGGACATTTTTAAGTACATGGCTTTAGAAAAAATTACATAGAATCCATAATTGCATCACTGCGTTTACAGCTAGAAACTCTGAGAGAGCAGACCTTCGCTAAAGCAGGAGATTTCTCCCCATATTGTGATTTAAACCTATAGCTAAAACTTGCACATGATCTGGACCATTACAAAATTTAAATGAATTGTTCCTTGAAATGAGGCATGCCTCTGGTAACAATTTCATTTTAATCTATCTATAACGTTAACATTTATCCTGCTTTCCTGACAGTGGCGTTGGATGTAGAAGTTTGCCCTGAAATCAAAGGGTTGATGGTTCAAGCCCCGACTTTCAGTGTCGTTGTGTCCTTGGGCAAGACACTTCACCTGCATTGTCTACTGATGGTGATCAGAGGGCCGGTGGCGCCAGTGTACGGCAGCCCCGCTTCTGTCAGTGAGCCCCCGGGCAGCTGTGGCTACAATGTAGCTTGCCACCATCAGTGTGTGAGTGTGTGCGTGAATGGGTGAATGAATGTAGTGTAAAGCGCTTTGGTCAAGTCTCCTAACTTGAATAAAGCCGCTATATAAGTACATGCCATTTACCATTTTACCATTTACCATAATCTCCTTGGTGAAAGTAACAGTAAGGAATCAGTGGGGCTCTCGTTAGGCTCTGGCAGAACCATATAATAAATTGTAAACAAATGTTTTCTGTTTTTGTGGCAGTTGCAGCCTTTATTCAATAGTAACTAGAAGGAAGAAGGGCACCTGCTTTAGATTGCTGTTATGATCTTGGCACTGATGACTGGCTTAATTACTCATTTCATTCACTTGTCTAACTCTGCACGGTTTCTCAATACTGCACATCTGATCCACCTGCTCCTGCCTCTATTTAAGCTGCCGGCTACCAGTTATCAGGGCCAGATTTATCTCTCGAGACAGTGGGGAGAGTGTCTCTAGTGTTACCTTAGTGTTTCTGATTTCCTGTTCTGCCTCACAACCACTGAGCCCGCCAGTTCCAGTCTGCTTCCAGTTGTCAGGCAAGATTATTCTTGAGTCAGTGGTGAGACCGTTCCAGCATTACATTAGTGTTTCTGATTGCCTAATCCAGTTCTGCCTTTCAACAACTGAGCCTGCCCGTTCCCCTCTGATCTGTTTGCCTGGACTTTCTTTGGACTCCTGCTGGATTCTGCATGTTTGCTTAACCGGAAGCCGTTTTCTGTCACAAACCTGGATTACCCTTCAAAACCTGTTCAGACTTCTGATCTCCTGGTTCTGAATCCTGAGCACATCCTCAACCCCAGCTTTAGCTTCGGCCTCTACATTTCCCTGCCTTCCTCTGTCTGCTCGGATCTTGTCTCCTGCTTGTTCTCCGTCCTCTGGGGCTGCAGCATCTGGAACACTCTGGGCTGTGTTGCCGCATCTTGTTGGCTGCCCACCAGCAGGATCCTACCTCCTTCTCTGGGCATGGACTGAACTGTTAAACCAAGTTAGTGACTCACGTGCATCAGAACATCATGGTCACTAACCTGTGTTTCTCTCCTGCAGAGGTTCCTGCCTTAGACACCCTAGCCGCTGCTACAGCAGATTTGATTTTTAAAATAAATTATTTTTGAATTGACAATCGCACACAATCGCAGCATCAAGCTTTTAACAACGCCATTTTAGTTTAGCCCTAGAAAGACTTTCGGTATCCTACTGTACCTCCAGCGCAGACACAGACCAGTTGGTTCTTCCCTCATCATGCTCCTCCACTTACTTCAGCTGCATGCTCCTGTGATCCTCACTGGCCCTCTGTCCATTTGTCCAGCAGTTAGCCTATAAATGCTAGCCTTGGCTTGCGGTCATCTCTTCCTGCCCTGTCACTTTGGCTGCTCCTGTGATGTCACTCTATCCTCCTCCGGTAAGCCATATCTGCCACCACAAATGGGAACAGACTCCTATAAATAGCAATTTCTAAGGCAAGACAAACATAAAGATTGAGTCTTTGAGTTTATAGGTCATAATCGATAACATATATATAGATTATATATACTATTTATGTCAGTAAATCCCTGTAATTAATACACTTAATTAATACCTTTAATAGCACACCTTTTTCAGGTTTCTTCGCCTTGTTTGGAAAATAATTTTCATGGTTAGGAATTAAACAATAACCCATTTTACTCACAAAGTTAGTTCAGCTCATCATGATCTGCCTCCTGCAATTCTTAAATGATTAAAAACATTTGATGTCAAACTGTACAGAGAGCTTGAAAATAAAGATATCAAAAAATAAAATGAAAGATAAAAATAAAACTTTTCAAACAGCCGATTGTTGCATGGACTTTGTAATGAAAATAAAATCTAGCACTTTCTTACACAGTTGCATGGTGTTTGTAAAAATGTTACAGCTTATTTAAAATTTGCAGTTAGTAAAATTATTTTAAGGAAAGTAATGTCAGAAAATTTGGACCAGCAGGTATTTAATTAGATGTTTATATTTTGAGATGAGTCCACAGATTTTTTTTTACGAATGAGCTAGCTAGTAGGTCATGGTGTGAATATGGTCCAAACATAAGTGGTTCCTGTGTCCAATTTTGCTATTTAGGGAATGTTTAATTCTGTTTCTTACATGTTCCTTCATTTAAAAATGTATACATGAATCGAGTGCTAAGATAATCAGAATTTGCTGAATTCGAATTCAGCGGCTGCGTCCTCTGAAGGCAAGGTTGGTAGGCCGAATACATAAAAGCACTTGTTATGCGGCCAAGAAATGCAGCCTTCCGTTTTGCCCATTTTGAAGGACAGGTCCGGTGTATCCTACATAGCCTTGGGTATCCTGTGATTCATTGCGAGTCCATGCATGCCGGCTGCTCTATGCTCAGAGGAAAAAAGTAAATGGCGCCCGACAGTGGTGAATATTATTTATAAATTAGTATATTATAACACAAGTATGTGAATAGTTCCATCTGAAATTAATGAAAATAGTTGTTTTAAATCGTTAGTGAGTCAGATATGTGGCGGGTAATGTTTTGTTTATTGAAAGGTTTTCTTTGTCCCTGTACAAAATGGGTTTGGCTTACATTTAAGCACAGATTCTAATATCTGTGCAATGTGGGGACTATAAATCTGATATCTGCAACCACAATACTGCTGCTGAAGCTCCTCGACAAAGTAATTATCACCCAGAACAGTAGCGAGGAGTCCAGTATCCATTCTTGCCCTGCTTTGTGTATCGACTGTCATGGTTTCTAGGCGACAGGGCATAGGTGCGGTGAAAGCTGAAGAAGGCTGCACCTGTTTGAAT